GGTGCCCTACCTTCGGAAGGGCATGGCAGGGCGGCCCACGAGAACCCTCGTAGAGTTTGCAGCTCGGTTAAGTCAAGACAGTCACAATGCCAAATAAAAATACTTGTTCTAAAATCATCCACTCTGCCTTAAGAAAAAATCTTAAAAGGTACTATTCATAAATGAATGCCCCAAGCATATTTTCATTATGTTAATTAACTAAAAATGCATTTTATAAATTATTACTTGGGTAAGATTATCTCAGCTTTGAGATTTGTCATCCCATGTTATGCATCTTAAAATAAAAAATACTCTGTTTGAACTATTGAGATATTTAATACCAAAACATGACAATGGAAAACATTGGGACTCCTACTTTATGTGTAAAGTAAGCATAATTATTGTAAACAATAAATACCTTATTTGGATATGTGTTTTGATTGAGAGAGAATGCCCACTAGGAGATCATAGCTGTGCCTCAGTTTTGGGTAAACTCTGGGTGATGTGAAAGGTAGCTCTGCAAAGTTGTTCATAAAAATGCCATTTTGCCATTTTTCCTTAGAAAAATTAAACCTGCTCTTGGTGTGTATTGAGGCAGAAATGATGTTGCATCAGACATTTTAGGCTGTTGCAATTAGCATGATTAGCATGACTTCAGCACAGAATTATATAGTTAGTTCTAAACATGTCAGCAAGAGTGTGTCTTGTAACTGTTTTTCAAAAAAATTAATGAATGCAAGTTAGTGTTTCATGGTGGTTTTTATGGGAACCTGCCCCCATCTCACATACTTTTTATCATCTTATTGCTTCCCCCCTTTCCTGGTGTGAGACTGTTGGGTTCCCAGCAGGTTCCCAGAATCAGTTCAAACATCAAACAGGCTTGACACTTAAAATCATGGGGTGATGTTTTCTTGACAATTTGGGGGATTCAGGCCTGGAGGGTGGGAGGTTGTTTTGATTTAGGGTGTTTTTTCAGGTTTTTTTGTTAAACAGTGGTCTGTAACAAGTAACAGTAAGTGGAGGAGGAGGGTCTTGCTGGGAAGGATGGTTTTGCTGTCTCTGCTCTCTTTGTTACTAGGAAGGTAAGCAGTATCCTGGGGTCTGCTGGGAAAAGTGTGGCCACCAGGTCAAGGGAGGTGATCTTCACTCTCTACTCAGCCCTAGTGAGGCCACATCTGGAGTACTGTGTCCAGTTCTGGGCTCCTCAGTACAAGAAAGACAAGGAGCTACTGGAGAGGGTCCAGCAGAGGCCACAAAGATGATGAGGGATCTGGAGCATCTCTTATGAGGGGAGACTGTGGGAGCTGGGCCCGTTTAGTCTGGAGAAGACTGAGAGGGGATCTCATTAATGCATATAAACATCTCAAAAGCGGATGCCAAGAGGATGGAGCCAGGCTCTTTCCAGTTGTACCTGGCGACAGGATGAGGAGTAATGGACATAAACTAAAACACAAAAAGTGTCACCTCAACATTAAGAAGAACTTCTTTACGCTGAGAGTGGCAGGGCACTGGAACAGGCTGCCCAGGGAGGTTGTGGAATCTCCCTCTCTGGAGACACTCGAAACCGGCCTGGACGCGTTCTTGTGTCACCTGCTCTAGGTGTCCCTTCCTTGGCAGAGGGCTTAGACTGAATGATCTCCAGAGGTCCCTTCCAACCCTGACGACTCAGTGATGAACACGAGCGGGTTCCCCCCGCCGGGGCTGCCCCGGTGCCCGGGGCGGGTCGCTCCGCGGGCGGGGCAGCGCCGGGCCCGCCCCCGCCGCATGCGCCGCTGCCGCCATGGCGGGCGCGCTGGGCGGCATGTTCGGCTCCCAGGCCCCGGGGCCGCCTCCGCCGCCGGGGCCGCCCGGCCCGCCCGGCCTTATCCCGCCGCCCGCGGGGCCGCGCAACCCCAACAACACGCTGGTGGACGAGCTGGAAGCGTCCTTTGAGGTGAGCGGGGGGAGCCGCGGGCGGGCGGGCGGGCGCTGCCCTCCCGGCGCCGCCCCCCTGCGCGCTGAGCACGGTGCTTCTCTGTCCCGCAGGCCTGCTTCGCCTCGCTGGTGAGCCAGGACTACGTGAACGGCACGGACCAGGAGGAGATCCGCACCGGTGAGCCCCGGGGGGGGAGCTGAGGGTCGCCCCTTCCCCGGTAGAACGCTGCTCACAGCAGTGGGAGGAAAGGAACCCACCGGGAAGGGAAGGAGCGGGGTCTGGTGGGGAGGTCCGAGTGCCGGCTGGCTCCGGGGGTCGTGTGGGGTTAGACTGACGGACAGTGAAGTGCATGGTTCCAAATGCAGGGAGCTCGGGTGATACATTGAGAAGCTGTATGGAGCAGTAACAGAAGATGGGAAGGGACGGCCCAGGCTGCTCCGTAGCGTTGCTTTAAGGCTTGACTGATACACCTTCGTGGAGGCGGAATAAATACTGAACTGGTGTGAACAGAAATTGGAAAGTGGCCTTGACTGCTTGGAAGTGTGCTTGTCCCTGAAAATTTTTTGAAGCTTGACTCTTAAGTGCTGTGTCGAAAACGGCATAAATACTTATGAAAACTCCTTTCTGGATGTTGGATCATATTCGTATGCTGGGATGGAACAGCTTTCATTACTAAATCAGCAGTGTGTGATACAGGAATTCTTCTCAATATGCTCATATTTGAGAACCCTACATTGAGCTTGTTGCTTGAGCATGCAGAAATGTTTTCTTTATTCAACCAAGTTCCATGAATTATTTTATTATTCCTTGTTATTGTCAGACATGTAATAAAACTTGGAAGTGTTGTTGTCTTGCAGTTTTAAAAGAAGTTCTGAAAGTTTGCAGAGCAGTGTCTTATATGGAGACTTAATGCACATCCTGGTTTTATAAATATGTCATTAATAAATATATTTTACAAATAAGTCATTTTAGATATTCTGAAGATTTTCTTTCTAGTAAGTACTGTAAAAAGTGTTTTTAATAGCATGCAGACCACTACTATTATCAGCCTGATATCTTATTTTTTTTGAATCTGTTCTTTCTATTTTGCTATATATGTTTAGGTGTCGATCAGTGTATCCAAAAGTTTCTGGATGTTGCAAGACAAACTGAATGCTTTTTTCTACAAAAAAGACTGCAGCTATCAGTTCAGAAACCAGAACAAGTAATTAAAGAGGTATGTTTAAATTAATTCACCTGTCTTGTGCTAGATGAGATAAACTGTGCACGTCAGTCACCTTGTTCACATTAATTTTGGGTTTCTCAACATGATGCTGTACCTTAAGTTGGTAGAACTTGACTTCTAACGTAACTCTCACTGTGATCCTGGAGAAGGTGGATGCCTGCTGCTCTGTGGAGTATTGGAACACAGCTGGTAGTTTCATTGGAAGAGACAAACCAGTTAGTCAGATTTTGTTGGCAGCAGTGATCTCTGAAATATGGGATTTAGGGGAATGGCACTAGTGCATTCGCAGTTTCATTGGACACTTTTCCGTTATTCCACTATAAGATCAGCTTGAAAACTCAAGCTAAAAAAATTAGATGCTCTTTATATGAGGTGATTGCTCATATGAATACCATCTATTTACTAATATGCTTTTTTTCATCCATAGGATGTTTCAGAATTAAGAAATGAATTGCAGAGAAAAGAAGCATTAATTCAGAAGCATTTGAGTAAACTGCGACACTGGCAACAGGTCCTGGAAGACATCAGTGTACAGCACAAAAAGCCTGCAGAAATGCCTCAAGGTCCCTTAGCTTACCTGGAACAAGCCTCTGCGAATATTCCTGCTCCAATGAAGCAAACATAATCTTCAGTTTTACATAGCTCAGTATTTTCAACGGTGCAAAGCAGTGGTGTTCTTGCTTTGTATGCTTTTTGTATAATGTAATTTGTACTACAAATAGTTAAGATAAGCCAAATAAATTATCTTCTTTTTTTTTCCCAAAAGTATGAACTGGTTTTATATTTCAATGGAAAATATTCAGAGTTGCTGTTCACGATGCTTTCTGGTAGATGTGTGTCTCCTAGAATGCATCCTGTTCCTTCTAGAGAGGGTGGCCCTAGTTTTCCCTCTGTCTTTGCTGGTATGATGAAAATACTTGCAAAGATTAGTGTTTGATTTTACTGGAAGATTTGAATGTTTTGTGATCCAGTAATTATCCACGAGGACCACTGTAGAAACACCCTTAGATTTGACTGTACTTTTTTGAAGTGAATTGTCATTCTTCACCAGACTTTTGTTCAGCTCACAGAAGGGGTCTTGGGATATACAAATTTGGTTATTATAGAATGATCTGCTCATAGATACCAAGGCACTCAGTGTTACTTACTGCACACTGTTTTATCTTCTTAATTACATATATAAAAAGTGTCTTTTTGTCAAATCTAATGCCAAAGTCACTTTCCAAATCAAGCAGTTCCTTTTGGAGAAAATGCTAGATAGCAGGGATGAAAAGTATTAGCCTGTAGAAGCATTCTGCCCTTTTTGCTACCTTTTCACCACCAGTGAGGTGCAGCAGCTCTTTTGTATTAATTATTTGCATCTGTTGGAACAGCTCTTCCTGGCTGTTGGAGAGAGGATGAGGTTAGGCTGGAGGTACACCTCGCTCACGGAAAATTTCTAACATAGCTGGGCCCCGCTGGTCAAAATTAAACGGGGATTCAAACCGTACAGCAACTGAAGAGGAGCTATCCTATCTTAAACACCAGGCTGCTGGTTGCACAGTTCCCTCCCTGCCTTCCACAGTTACTGATGAGTTAATTACCTGAGGGTTAATTTCTTTATAGGTGTCTTTCCTCCCAGCAGTGAGTTAGCATGGTCTAATAAATGTAGTCATTCCTCCACTTTACATTTAGGTGGGCATAAAAGGTACATGTGCACAGTTCCCATCCCTCTGGAACTCAGTGTATCAATCTGACTCACACTTCAGCATAACAGCAGTCTTTTGTAAAACACAGAAATGGATCATTTACAAGCTTTAATGTTCATACTTACACATCATCCTACTTTATCAGGCTGATACATGTATTGAAATGCAATAGGGGTATTGCAATGCTGACTATACAAAACAGTTTATTAAGCAAACCCGAAACTATTTCTAAACCAGCCTCCTATAAACATGCTATTCTTGAAGGTATACTGCATGCTGTACAGCTTAAGATTAGTTTAACAAAAACCATTAAAAACTTTAAAATTATCACATCATTATATGCATAAATTACTTTAAACAGCTGATGAATCAAATGTATAAATGTACAGAAGTAAGACCTTTCTTCAGCTGGTACCAGATTGATAGGATGTATCAGAGTCCAAATTGCATATTTAATGAAATGGTGGAGTGGTAGAGTCTCTTGATTATAAAAAGTCTTATAACAGTATTTTTGCTTTTTCTTCATTTTTTACAGAGGTTTTTAAAAAAATGCATTTTTTTGAAATCCATGCCTGTAACTCCATAGTTAATAGATGTAAGAGTGCAGGTGTTCCTAATCATTTACTTAGAAATTACTTTTATTATTTTCTTTCCTCAAATCATATATTGGATTATCATTCCCTGAAAGAAAACAGGAATGGCTTTTCTAGTGATTCTGAGAAATATGGAAATAGTTTGCTTTAAAATGAAAAATACTTAGTAAACCATTCTTGATGCTGAGGGTCTTGTTTTTGGTCATCTTTGGTTTGTGGTGGTTCACTGCCATGTGCCCTGTACAAACAAATAAGCATTAGCATGACTTGCCTACTTACTTACAATCTCATTAATATGTAATACTTCTTTTCCCAGAAAAAATCCTGATCCTATGCATGGTGCTGTGCTCACATGAATGGATAAGGCCAAAAGGTGCCAGCTACAAAGCACTAGTGGGATCTGTGCTAGTCAGGTAACTCGAACAGTTGCCTGGTCGTAACACGCAGAGCTAAACAGCTATGGAGAAATGTTTGAACATAATTCTTAACTTGACATTTTGAAAAATAAAAGGATGCTTCAAGGATAAGAAGTCTTGAAAATCAGAGAATGGCAGCTGCAATTCACTCTTCAAAATATGACATATGACATGTATTAAAAATGTTGGGTAAAAGTTTTATTTGACACTGAAAGATTAATTTGAACATTAACTGGCATTTATAATCAACTCTATTACATTGTCTCTTTTCCATCATTCAGGATTTTTTTTAACAAATGACAGCAAATAAGACTTGACTGATGATTGACTGACCTAAAAGATTTAAGTAAGTAGCAGCCAAGCTACCCTCAGTCTCCTTGTGCGTTTGTTTCCCTTTAAAACAGAAATCTGATTTGCCTTGGCAGTCATCTGGCATGACACAGCACGTTTTTATCTTTTAGATGTGGGAATTGCCAAACTGGATCCAACCCTGAGTCCCAGGTTATTGTTTTTGTTGGCAGTCAGCACCATCTGCCCTCAAGTAAAGAACTCTAGCACATAATATACAGGATAAATAATCTCCACCAGGAGATAGGTGAGAAAGCTGGATTTGGTCCTGAAACATAGTGGTAGGGTTTGTTGGTTTTTTTTTGTTGTGTTTTTGGGTTTTTTTGGGGTTTTTTTTATATTTATCATTATAACTGTATGTTAGCTACATGTATTTTTAATTATTTCTTGAAGAGAGAGTTCAGCTATGTTTATAAAATACCAAACATCGTTCAAATAACTCCTAAATTTGAAGAATGCAAGTTCTTCAGAGAGAATACATGAAACGAAGTTTTTACTTAAGTGTCTGCTAATCAATTTTTAAGTCTCTAAACTCTTTGTGAAATGATTAGCCTAGATTCATTGAAATACCTCCTAAAATAAAAATATGTCATCTACATCTACCAAGTGCAAGGTGAAGAAACAAAAATAAGAGAGAAGACACATCCTTATTAGAACCACTGGTAGATGCTCAAGGTTTTAAACAGCCATATTCACTATTAGCTGCATTCTTAGTTAAGTACTTGCAACTCTTCTTGTTTTTTAGCACCAGAAGGGGTTGCAAGTGTAAACTCTGCTGGGCAGGGATTATAGCCTACACCTGCAGTAAAGTTCTAAGTCTGTCTGCAGAGAACTGAACACACGGAGTTCACTGCACTGCAGAAACCCCACATTGTTGTGTATTTCCAAATGTATAATGACTTTGATTTGCCTACAAGATTCTGAACATACATTCATTTATTGTCTTAGAAAATGGATAAATACCTTGTGGCAGCACTGCTGTCTGAGGACTGTGCTGATGGAGAGCCCACCCTGAGGCAGCCAGGACTCCGGTCTAAGCTTGTAGATTTTGTTATTTGAGGAGCACTTCTTTTTGATCTCGAGTCACAGCTCAAAAAGCTCTTTGCATAGGAAGCTAAATTCGGAACACTGACAACACGACTGGGCACCTCAAGTGTTTTCTTCTTCTGCTTTTTATTGTAACAGAAAACTTCATTACATACACAGTTTTTTCAATTTATACTATAAAACCTCAACAATACCTCATTCCTAGATGTCTTGTGAGGAACCCTCAGATAGGAAGGGTCCTGTCTTTTTCTGTAGGCATTTAGATTCTGACAGTATGCTGTGAGGATCCATGGATTTGGTCCCATCTAATTAAAACAACTTGTGTATTCGATCTTGGGGTTTTAGACAGATCAAGGTGCTTTCCACCAACTTGACCTCCCCTCTTTTAATGGCTATTTATAGACAGTATCATGCAGAGGGGCTGGAATGGCAAAGAGCAAATACCGAGCAACCCAAGCAGATTCATAATTTTCCTTAATGCATGCAATATCCCAATTAGCAACTCCCAAATCTGCAAACAATGGCTGTGCTTATTGCAGTGGAAGACTCATGCCTTTGGAGTTTTAGTGTTTTACATCTGCTTAAAAACCTGTATTCATGTTGCACCTATACTTCTACTGAATTTATGTTACACTCAACACCTGACTAAGTTGGCTTACTGGAAAGAATTCTACTGAATAACATTATCATAAAAAATTAATAGCACTTTTACTGTCCTGATCACCTGTATGATTCAAATAGTAACAAAACTTCATGATTTGTGATTTTAATTGCATTGCCCATCTTACCTTGATGGAAGGAGTCAAGCCTGCTGTATTGGGGTTGAAAGAAAATGACCGATTCCTGGAGGATTCAGTGTTGGCTGAAAGTGAATGCTGACATTTTCTTCCTTCCTGAGGGGAAAGAAAGTTACATGTATAGAAACGTATTTGTTGGAAGCTGATAGGGAAACACACATTTGTCAAAGTATTCCAGAACACAAAGAAGCAACCAGTCTGAAGCAATGTGCGAAACACTGAATAGAGCCTTTCAATAGATTCCAAAATACATAACTGCATATAAAAGGCAGTCTTACCACCAGCTGCTTGATGATTTCTTCTCTCTCATTTAATTTGTCTTGCAGACAGTTTACAAGGTGTGTACCTTCTGACCTGGACTCCCATTTTCTTGACTTTTCTTCTAACTCTTTAAGTCTGTACCAAAGAAAATGCAGACTGGAAAAAAACTTCCTCAGATCAGGTTCAAGAGATACCTGGGCTGTACTCTGCCTTAAATTCCAAACCTAAAATACAGGGGCATAACCAGGCCTTTCTGATAAAACATCCTTTTTTTTTAAAAAAAATAGGCATCTATACATGGTTATCTTGTGGAATTCCAAAATAAATTGCCACCAGAGTTAATCCACAACATCTGTCTGCATAAAATCCAGCCCCTGGTGTAAAATAAGAAGCTTGCACATCGCATGGCTAGTCTAGTTTCCTAAAGAAAAAAATCTGCGTCACAGTATCTATACATACCTGTATTAATCTATTTGTTCTCTTTTCTGACCCAGTAACTTTAGAATCCTCAGAAATACTCAATTCCTATAACTTTCATGAAGAGAAGCTTGGATATACATGCTGCTTTAATGAACTCTCTAAGTCAAAACCTGTAGTCTGAGTTCAGCTTTTTAAATTCCTTAATCAGGGGAAAAGATTCAAATGCAAATTACACATTCTTAGATATGGTGTGGGAACATGCATTTGATTGACTCATGAGAACACAAATCATTCTTTCAATCAGCCAAGTGCATGAATTTTGCTGTTTGAGAAACTGAGTTCTATGAAGTTCACCTGCCATAACCAGGACCCATACTGAGCAATGTATTACAGAATACAAACAACCTTTTTCTTGTTTATTTTTTTTTTGTGGGGGGGGTAAGTATTTTTTAGAGGACCACCTTTGGACCGTATCATGTCAGAGTTTAAATAAAAAGATAAATCTTAACATCTGAAAGGTTTGAGGCCTGCTTACATGCAAGGTCTCTCTTCTGGTCCTCTGCTGCACAGTTGAGATAAGGGAAAAGGATATATAATCAAAGGGGATAATTCTAAGTGGCCTCTCCTGTACAATCTGAAGCACCACAACTTAACTCCACAGGGGGCTGCAAAGTGCATTTATTTATATGAGTTAGTGGGGGCTGTCCTGGGAAATTTTCAATGGAGTAAGAATGATCAAGAGCTTCTTAACCTCAAAGATGCTGCTCTGCTGAACAAAATTAAGTACAAGATCATGGATCAAGGCCTCTGGTATTATCTGTGACAAAGATTATTTTACACTTCATAAAATTGCTAGATACTACATGCAAGTTTTAATTTAGCATTGTAAAACTTTATGTATAGTGCTTTAGATTAACCAATATTCAGAATTTATTATAATGGCTTTGGGTCTTTTTGGTTTGCAAAGGAAATACACTTGTATTTCAATCCTTACAATACTCTATGTATGGTTAATACAAAAATTATACATACTAAGAACCATAAATTCAAACAGAACTCACTGCCCATATGAGCCGCAGTTCATTTAAATTACTTACGCAGTTTCTAAGGAGAAAATCTTTGCTAGAAGATGTGCCTGAGTGCTGCTGAAATCAGATAATATGTTTTCAATTTCCTTCCGGTGATCTTGTTTCAGTATGTCCAGTTCTTTTTTATGCTTGATACTGAGGTCTTCTACCAGTAGCCTTCCATTGGTATTAAAATATGTCTGAATTATCATGTTTCAATACTAGTTTATTTTCATTGATCAAAGCATGCAGTTTTGAGGTCTTTTATTGACTGCAAAGGTAGTTAACTGGGCACAGAGCTGGCTTCTCCCTACTGATTTGACTTTGACATTTTGGTAGCAATCTGAGCAGAACCATCCTAACGCTGACGAAGAGGAAAATTTTTTGAAAAGTACGTGACCTTCACCCTTCAGGAAATGGAATATTCCATATAATGATGCTATTGATATTCTGTCTAGGGTTACTTTGTGCACTAATCTTAATGATAAAACATGACAATAAAATACCTCACTCACATTAAGCAAAATTATGTTGAAATCTCTGGGATTTTAACATGAGGCTCTGATGATTTATTTTACCACATCATGGCATCAGAACATTTAATACTGCATACCATCATCCTAAAACTGTTTTAAAAAAAAAATAATTGAAAACTAAAAAATGCCTAACGTTTTTTCAAGCCTAACCAGAACATTGCTTTCTAATACCAACTCCAAAAGCAATAGACATCTTCTGAAGAATCATACTTAGTTTGTTGTCTTTTGTTTGCTAATGCTTTGTTAAACCTTGGAGAAACTTTTTCATTAACTCAATGGAGAGTCCATGATCTATGGTTTACTGATTAAAATAGAGATGCTCAACTCAGCAGATTAACAATTGTAATTTTCACAACAGATATTCAGTTTAAATTTTTTTTCCCCTTTTTTTTTAATGTACTCCCAAACCTGTTTCACTTGTTTCTGAAAGGCTTCAGGAAAGGCCAAAACGCCCACAAAAGGTTTATGCCTTGGAATTAGAGCACAGCCATGCAAGTGACTGGCATAAGATAAGAAGCAGAAGAATAAGGGTAAAAAAGGGAGCAAAATCCCTGAAATAGATCTTTAGGGGTAGAATAAAAGTTCTCTTTCAGAATAGCCATTTTGGAAATTGTCCACTCTTCCCATAAAAATACCTTTGCTCTCATCCTAATCCTTGCAAAAGCTTGCCATACGGGAGGTGGAATTCACACAATTCAAGAGAATGGAAATGTGAATTATTACTTCCAGCAGATTACTGATTTCACTTACTTGGCAACAGTAGAACTAGTAATTTTAAATAATTTGTTAAAAAATTTGTCACATACAAATAACAAGCCACTATCAGTTTTAAAATCAGAAAAAACTATATGGCATAAGACAGGGTCAGTGTTGTTAAAGTAAAAATAGCACTTATTTATATGCAGTCACCAACTTAACTATTCCCTTACACAAACTATTAGTCCTGCAAAAGCAAAACAAGAGCTGCAAGTTAATGTTCCGGGTCTTCCATGGGTTAATTTTAGAGCAGCCTATAGCAGGTGCCTGTGTCCACTTCAGCTCTCTGGTCCTACCTCCTGTTATCTGAAGGATTTCTGCTTACATAATTTCCATTAATGCTTCCTTCTCAAATGCTTACTGTAGTGGAGCTAGACCATTTATTCCCTGTAAAGCAAATCCTCCAGCGGTAGCATCTGAGGCCCTTTAGACCTCATCACTGACACGTGAATAATTCTTCTCTTCATGAACAGAGGCTATAAATTCCTTCAAGGTAGCTGGAGGGCACTGATGAAACACTCTGGTTTGCAGTTCTTTCTGTTGATCTTGCTTCAAAAGCTTGAAATGAAATTCACTTTGAAGTAACTCTCAAAAGAGTGCAAGGGCAAAAAAAAAAGTTTCTCATTCTTTGAATATCTGCTGACTGGTAGACAGGAATGGAATTACTCTGACCACTCTGACAGTCTGCAGAGAGACATTCTGTCCACTGAGTGCTTTTCCCTAGACTATATGGGTCATAATTTTAAAGATTCTTTTAAGGGCATACTTTTCAGAAATCCTTTTATTTATACAACTTGTGCAGTTAGGAGCATACATTCTACATCATTGCAAATATGAATTGAAAGGTACCCACACACTATATCCCTCTGCCAAGAGAATGTGTTAAGTATGTTCATCCAGAAATTTCCAAGTATTCAAAACCATAAAAATGCAGTGGGCAGTGAACTCAGTCTTGTCTCCCATGTAAACTACACCAGGGGAGGTATAGGTTGGACATTAGGAAGAACTTCTTCACAGAAAGGATGATTAGACGTTGGAATGGACTGTCCAGGGAGGTGGTGGAGTCACCACCCCTGGAGGCACTTAGTGTCATGGTCTAGTTGACAAGGTGGTCATAGGTTGGACTCAGTGATCTCAGAGGTCTCTTCTAACCTAATTGATTCTGTCATTCTGTGATTGTGCACTTTTTCTGTACATAAATGGGAGGACTGCTTTTACTGCAATGCACCATGTGTGCCGAGCCTGTGGCTACACTAAGAAGATGTGGTCCACCTTCTACGAGACTACAAGTCATCTTGCCCCTCCTGTGCCCTGACAGTATCTCACAGCTCCAGGCTTCCATCAGCCCAGAGATGCTGTCAGTGTCCACTGTCACTGCCCTTATTCCCTCAGTGCAAAGCTGACTGCTACAACCAAAGCAAACTCTCATGGAGTATACACAGCATTCCCGAGTGTCCCCTTTGGAGTTAACATTGGTTTCAGCTACGGAGAGTATGTATAAAAACTTGATATTTATTCTCAGAGACTTCCCTATTTTTTTAATAGTTCTTGGGTGAGTTTAGGATTTGTTTATGTCTTCCAGTGCCTTTCTAAGGATGACATTATGCAGATTTTCTCAGGTTGCTCCTTTGGGGATACACTAGACATATTTTTCTGAGACATATAATGAGCAATTAGTTCAAATGCTTCTAGTATGGCTGGAGGGACATGTGAAATGAACTACTGCTTTTACAAAACTCCTAGCCTCTAAAATTAGTACTTTAGAAAGGAAAGATTCTGACATGCATTGCACTTAGAACACCTCTGATGCTGACATTATTATTGAATCTCTAGATAGCATTGTGAAGTTTGAATTTAAGGCAAACCTTCTGTGCTGTTTATCTCTATCCTGAAGCTGTGCAGCTTCTTGCTTCTGCGACTCCAGCTCAGCACTGAGTAGCTCCATTGTGTCCTTCAAAAGTAAATTCTCTTTCTTGAGTTCAGAAATTTCACTCTGACATTTTTCCAGTTCATCATGAAGAGATCTGATCTGGCTTTGGCTACTTCCTTCCTAAGAAAAAGGCCACATTTATTTATTCACAGACTCTTATTTTTTAATGTTAAGATCTTGCTAGAATTGTGTGCATTGAATTTTTGTGATCTGATTTATCAATTATATGTGCCATGATGTGTGCAAGACAAAACCTGTGATCAAAACTTCTTGAATATACTTAGTCTCCATAGAATTTATTTTACTGTAACATTCATTTACTTCTGTTGTAGATTCTGATCTTTAAATGGAAAAAAAAAGCCTGCCCATAGGGGGAAAATTATAAACAATGCTATCATTTAAAGTGAGAAATAAGGGAAGGAAACACATTCAATTTCTGTAAGAGACTGCACACTTTTATTATCCCTAAAGAGACAAATGTGATACTATTGCTTTTGCTAAAAACAACATGGCAATGAAGTAGGAACTGGTCTCTTGCCTGTTGCTTCTTCAGTGTCCTCACACTCCTCAGCTCCATTTGTAGTTCTTCTATTTGTTTCTTGAGGTTAGTGCATGATGTTTGTTGCTCAGAGAGTTCCATCCTTAGAGATCCTAGTAACAATCAGACAGACAATCATTTGGGCAGTCAGAGGAGAGCCGGATGGGAAAGGTAGACATAGGCAATGTAGATGAAAACATTGATCTATTACATTTTGCTTTGTTCTTCAACTCCTTCCCCATTAGGCATAATGGCCTTCTATTACTAGAGAGGTAACTCAGTTGAGCAATAGTAAGATGATATGGAGCTAGAGTAACAATGATTCCATGTCAGAATCAGAGAGGCAATTCTGTGGCAGTTGTATTGCAGACTACAATTGTAGTTGTATTGCAGACTACACTGTAATTGCTTCTTCTCATCTTGAACTTTATTGGAGCACCCCTGAGCTTCCCTGTTAAGTCCACTGGTGTTTTATAGAGGATCATAAGACAGACTGAGGAGAGCTCTGGTTGTGTTAAAGAAGTAAAACACTTATGTAAGCTCACCTGTCATGTACTGCAACTTTTGTGTATATTGGGTACAAGTTTTGGGACGGATCAAGTACAAGGAGAAAAGTTTTTCTCTCTCTCTATGGTCTCCCTACAATTATTCTTGAAGAAGAACAGAATTGGTCTATTGAACACACAAACCTTAGAGAGCAAGAAATCTTTCTAGGAAATTTGAATTTCTAAAAAAAAAAAAAAAAAACAAGCAAGAAGAGAATCCAGTTTGAACTTAAAATACTTTCAAATTATTCTTAAATTAAAAAACCTTTTATAGATGAGCTTTAATAACATGAGATTAAACGTGGAGATATTACACATCTTCCTAATGCAGTGTTGTGTTTAGTTCTGAACAATTTAGGGCACTTTTGAAACTGACTAAACAATACATAGGGAACAACTGATCTCCATTGCCAGACTCAACAGAGCAGACTTCAACAACATAGAATAATTCTTGTTCTCATAGGAAAAAAAAGAGGAAATTCATACACACTAACTACATTTTTCTGATTTAATATACCTGATAATGCATACTTGAATGTTGTACACCAGACCACACTCTCAGCAACATTCTGCTGCTGACAGTTGAGGGCCAAGTTAACAAAGAATATTGACTGTATTGCTGAAATTTCAGGGTATGAAAAAGGAGATTCACAAAGACCTGAGTTTTCCCAGAAGATGGGAAAGAAAATGAATAGGATCAAAGTCAGTGCTTCTCAGCATATATTTAATCAAGCAGTAGGAGCTGTGCATGACATGAGACACTATACCTAGCAACAGGGTTTGCTGCTTCTGTATCTGCTCAAGTTCATCTTGTAATTCTTTCTTTGCTTTCTCTTCCAAGGTTTGTATTTCCAGCCTATGAGACTGATGTTGGATCTTGAAAGTCTCATTAAATTCCTTTTTCAAACGTTCTTCTGCCTCCTGTAAGCAAAAGTCCCCCCCCAAAACAAAGCAGTTGGAGCCTATTTATCAGCTTGTTGTTTTACTTGTAATGCCAGGATGAATCTGGCCTTCCACTGTACAACTTTTATTTTTATCACCACTTTACAAGACAGTTTATCAATGAAAGCATAAAAATGAGCCAAATTTAAAATTTAAGACTTAATATAAACAAGATAAATTATCAAGATATCACCTCTTAGATTTGGTGTACATGATGAAATAATAACACTGACATCTTTGCACTATTTGACATTAGAAAGATGTTTTATTATCTAACATACAAAGCCCCCAGATTTGACCTGTTTTTCATTACTTATCACAGTGTATCAGATAAAGTCTTCTATCTTCCCTTGTATCATTCTTGGCTAAAACTTCCACTGTCATTAGAAGTACTGCTGTCATGCTGTAAATGATGGAGGGAGCAGTTGCCCTGCAGTGGCTCTGAAAGCAAAATCCTGTCCTCAGTTTCACTCTTACCAACTTACTGCCTTCAGCTTGGTTTTGTTTAAACTGGAATTTTATTCTGAATATATAAACAAGATATTAAATTCTTCTTAGGGTGGTTTTATTACCAATGTTTTATAAGGTTCTCTAAGCTGTGTGAATCAACAGGGACATCTGAACTCCATGTCACAATCAGATTTACATTTTAAAATTGATTTTTTCTCAAACAGCAAAAGTCTTTAGAACATTAGTATATTGTATTAACATTTTATCACTGAAATAAATCCACTCAAACCTTTAAAAGCTTTGGTTATCCACTTACTGAATTGATTGAAGGTATATAAGGCAATACACATCATTATACATGTCTATTATGCTTTTGAAGTATTTATGTGTAAATTAATAATGGATGAAAAATAATAAAACTGAGTGCTATTATTAATATACTTAGGAATTCCTTTGTAGTTCTGAAGCAGCAGCACAGATAAAGGTGCTTGTATTCATTATAGCCTAACTGTAGAGTATTTTATTTTATGAAGCATTAATTCTCACTGTGGTCCAAGTTAAAAAGTTAAAATTATTTTAAAACCCCCATACAAATAACCCAGTCTGATGATGATGAAGTTCCAAAATCACAGAATAATTCATTACGTGCAACAATAGCAACCCATCACTAAGCTGGAGATAACTGAGTTTTAATAATCAGCTGTCATTAAAATGGTTTATGCCATAAATATATATATATTTACATTAGTATGTAGTAAACTACTACATACTACTACTGACCTTTAGTTCCTGATTTTTGCTTTTCTCCAACATTTTTAAGACTTTTTGATGTGATGCCTCCAACTGCAGTTTAACATTTTGGTTTTCTTTAATGGTGTTTTGAAGATCCTGCAAAAGCTTCTCTTTTTCTTTGTTGGACTGCAGATTATGTTTCTTCAGCGACTCCTTGAAATTATTTGCTTGTTGGTCTAATATTTGCTTCAGCTGAGCTACCTTCCAGAAAAGTAAGTCAGCAGAGTTGGATTAATGGCTGCATTCACAACAGAGAGGAATTACATAAAATTGAACATATTTTGTGAACACGAAAACTGAACTTGAACAGTGAAAACTTTACGAACATGAAAAAATAGAAAGATGCGCATTTTGTGCAAGGAACTGTTTTTTCAGTGAAGAATAACAACCTTTTTGTATATACTGTCTGTTGCTTATCAAGTATTTTTTAAAAATTATTTCTTTTCAAATCACCTCCACTTCATACATGCAATCCATAGTTCAACTTGCACAATTATTATGTCACAAACTTGGAGGCAGGCCTAAGACTGTGCTTCGTGCTGTCCTGGAGATGTAACACTGCAGAATCCATTTACATAAAGCAGTAGATTAGAACCAATGGAAACAAGAATTCTGCACATCAAGCTTCAGATTTATCTTTTCTACTATCTTAATTACTAAACACAGTAGATGTGTATAATGGCTGACGGAAAAGTAACAAAAAAATACCCATCTGTAAGAATAAATTAGTGGGGCTTGTTTTGGTGGGGAAGGAGGGAGGAGTCTGTTGTCTTTTCTAGTAGGGAGGTTTTCTCAACTTTCAGCAAAAATTTGTATTTGAAATTCTGAAAAACTGCCTTCTGCATAGGAACATGCATACTTAATAAGGCCAATTAGTGTTTTTGCTGCTGTATCTGAGTTCCAAGTCAGAATACCCTTATGTCTCTTGCCTTTTCTTTTGGGGAACATGTGAAAGAGGATGGCCTGTTTTTCATTTTTATATACTTGTACTTTTCAGTCTTAATCAAAATATGAAAGGAAGTAATTCGCATCCTTATGATTTCATGTGACTTAAAAAGATTGAAATGATGTTACTCACATCTGCAATTTGGATGCAATATGGATTATAACCTATGCCTGTGTCCTATTCTTACCTGTACACTAATACATGTTCTTTTTCTCTTCCGTGTTGCCTTAATTTTTTTCCATGCATAATGTAGACAGACCATTAGCTGAGGAATCACTGTAGCTTTAGCTAGATAAATATTTGTTTGTGGCCCCTTTTGATGCAGGACCACAAAAGCTATATGAAGATTTACTAAATGGGCTAAGGTGTCTCTCTCATTCCACGGTTTATTCACATTGCACCTTCCAGTACATTTTCAGCTACACAGGAGAAAAGAAGGCACGATATGCAAAGACCTTGCTTCTTATTAACTACCTGGGCACAGTCAGTGCTGCGCTGTCCAAATGGAGATACTGGTGAACTATGCCAGATCTCTCCAAATCACAGTAAGCCTTTCTGATGGTGTACTCCTGCTAGCTCATGGCACTGTTCTTTCTCACATTTGTTGAGCATGTTGGCTCCTCTCATCCAAATGATGCATTTTCTCCTTTCCTTCTCCTGAGGCCCTTCTCCATTCCCAGATGGATCACAACCCTTACTCAAGTACTCTCTAAGCCTCTAGTATTCTCATAGGTTTCTAGCACAGAACTGTGCTCTGAAGGCTCATAATGCTGCAAACCACAAAGCTTGAATCCGTTCCCAGGGTTTCAACTCCTTTTGGAGAAAGGACATTCTGTACTTCCAAATACATTGTCCCTTGTCTTCAATTCTAGTCCTGATTTCTGCTTTTATTGTTTCTTGGCATCTGCTCCATTCTCTCTAGAATTTGTACAAGTCTTTATGTCCCAGAAATGAATCCTGATATTAAAGAAGAAAAATTAATTTAAACCCTTTTTTTCTTTTGAGATACAGCTTAGAAAGAATTATTTCTACTTGATAAATTTGTCCTATTTTAATTGGTTTTTTTCTACACTGCAACTATGTAGGCCCCCAAAAACATTGGAGAAACTTGTTGTGTTTGGTCTGTTGGTAGCTTATAATATTGAGTAAAAAGTTTGCATTTCCAGACTATCAGATGGAGATGATTTCTTTCTGTGGAAGCACTGTTCATTTGAAACACAAATGTTTATGAACTTCATATGCTTTGGAGATAGCTCAAAACCTATTACTTGAACAAACACATATATCATGAGAACAACAGAACTTCCTTTACTAAATCTGGATGCTATACCTCTGAGCAGCTACAAAAATGAATTATTGTTTCATTTTTTATTAGAACTGCTGTTCCTATACACAAGTCAATATATTGTGTTCCTTCCATTTACATAACAGTTTGTTCTTCACTGAAAATCCACAAGGCAAATTCCTTTTTTCCAATTAATTGGTGGCAGCCATAACTTATCATCACTGATCTTGTACTTCAGTTTCCCTCTGAACCCTTTCCAACAGCTTGCTCATAAAGGGCCACATTACTATGGATTTCCTTCACCAGATGGGATAGTGTGCTATGTTTGAATTTCAAAGTTCCTCAGCTTTATTACCGATGTTTCACATGTTCTGAGACCTACAGCATCATTTGTAACTTAGACATGACAGAAATCTGCAAACGGAGAAAAACCTTGTTAAAAAACTCTTTAGCAGATCTACCAGTTTAGGTAGTTGACTGCCTCCTTCTTGGTGGCCAAACAAAGCCATCAATAAAACTTCCGGTCAAATAATCCAAAGGAGACATTTTTAAATGTACACGTCAAATTGAAAACTTAACATTTTTCCTCAAAAATTAATTTGGTGTTTTTAAAACTTAAATTATTTAAAAATTTGTAAGAAGAAAAATCGCTTTATTCATAGAACACAGGGAAAGAAGAGGTAGCAGTGATGGTTCTGTTTTGTTTCTGTAAGAAAGAAAGGAAGCACAGAGGCACAGAAAAAAGAAGACAACAAGAGCATGAGCATATGAAGGTAATTGGGACACTTACCCGATTGATGAAGGCCTAAGGTGTCCAATGACAACTTTATATACAAGTGAAGAAATGGCAACGGGTGACACTGTAGCTTACCCTATTTTATCCTATAAACTCTTTAAATAAGTGAGAAAGCTGACAGAAGAAACACAAACAAAGAAACAAACCAAAACAAGCCCAGACCTCTCACAAATAATGGGAATGCCAGGTTGGTAGATAAGAAGAAAATAAAAATTCCTTCCTCCAGTGCTTTGCGAATAAAGTTCTTTATTTTGTTCTAAGTGCTGGAAAGCACTTCTTAAACAACTTCAAACCAACATGGTATGTTTGAATTTCACTGAAGCTATCCAACCAAATTGATTTATTTAATTTCAAAGAGTACATAGCTTCAGCTGCCTCCACTCTGAGTTTCAGTTAACTAGTCATCCAGTTGTTTCTTGGCTTCTTCTGTTGTGTCATCCAATTAAACACACAAAAAAATATTTGTCTGAACAAGCTAGCGAAGAATAATTGCCAAATACTATTCTTTATGAAAAATATTAATTGTCTTTACTGTGGCTGTGTGATGGAATCTATCTCTGGCCTGGATACATTCCAAGAACAGGCAAAATGCCAGAGCCACTTGCCAATCATACTTTTGTTTCAGAGCTGCTGCAATTTTTATTTTTTTTTTTTTTAATATATGGTAAATCATAAGATTTAATGAAAAGGGGCACTTTGGCTTCTAGTTGCAGGTAAAAAATTTACTTTGTCTTCACACCTATTGAACTCAGGCCAGTGTTTTCCTATATAAAGAAGGAAACACTGAAGTCTTTTGGTACTGCAGGTCCTTATAAAACTAATCTTTGACGTGAAACACTTAATACTGCAGAGTCACCCCTATCAGCTGATGAAGTATGCATTAGCATTATTACACTCAAGTACACATTTTTTTCTTTGCTTCCTTAAAGTAAAGTGAGTAAAAAGAATGTGCCAGAGGAGTAGGCTGTATATTTTCTAATAGAAAAACTGGACACAGGAAAAATGTCACTGGGAATACTTCTTAAGCAAATTAAACTGTCATCTCAGTAGGAGGATGAAAAGAGGCACATATAAACGTCATCTGCAGTCACAACATTATAAAACTTCCAGACTCTTCACAGACAATTATTGGCTCAAAGCACTTCTAACATGAAACAAAAGATCATACTAATTAAAAATAAGCTAAGCAGTAAATTGATAACAAAGAGAACACCATGTAGTAAGAAATCAGATGGAAAAATAGTCTTAGAAACATTGTTTTTCAGTGATTAATGGAAAAAACCCTACAGAAACACATTCTTTCTCATGAAGAGAACATTAGAGGCTAAGAAACAAACGTTTCCATCCCATCAGGATGGAAATTAAATCTTTCAATTAAAAGGGCTTTCAAATCCACCAGTGAAAATCCTTCTCTGGAATGATTTGCAGTGCCCAAGTATTTTTTTGTGCTTCATTAATTCAAAACAGACAGCCAGACCCTCAATTTGTTTAAATTGGTAAAGCAACATTTAAGCCAATGAAACTATACCAACTCACATCAGTCCAGAATCTATTTGGATACTTTTATTATTAACAAACCAACAACACTCTGGGATTTTGTGTTTTATAATGTCTTCCTGCTGCAAAACAAAATTTCTTGAAAAAATTTCACTCCTGCATTACTGATTCAATTTTATCCACCAGAATTGCATAAAGTGATCTTAAAGATGCAAACAATACAGTATAAAATCAAGGCAACAGTATCTTTTTAGGCTCTGCCGAATTCTTTTAAAATTTCAGGGTTACATTTGCATTTGATCTTTCTTACAATAGCTGAATTTGCTTCCAACTGTCTTCCATGTAAAGAAAGAAATGAACAATTCTTACTAAAAGATGACTGATGAGTTTTGAAATATTTCAAAAGTCTTCCAAGTTTCATTATTTTCTAACCATAATTACTGTCCCTCTTCTGGGAAGGATTGCTTGATTCTTTTGAAGAAGTACTTCTCAGACTTTGATAGTCTGTGGATAAAAACACTTGGCAAGTATAAGGCTCTGAATGCCATCACAATTGGCTCCCCTGTTTGACTTCTACTTCGACTATTTTAATTCACTGTGCTTGCAAGCACAGTTTCTCAGTGCATTTGTAGGGAATAGATTTTTATAAAAGGCTTAAAATTGTCTTTTGATGCATAGAAAAACCACTGCAATTGAGAAGTTGTTCATAGTCAACATAAGGCCCCCTAATGCTCCAGGGTTTCACTCCTACTACGATGCTATTACATCATAACAGTAATATGGTATAAGAAGTAAAAACAAAATAAAGAAATTGCATTTTACTGTTTTTTTTAGGCTTTTTTTCACAGTTACTTCAAATAAGTTCACAGGCAAGAGCCTTCCTAAACAGCCTTTCATTCTTCCTAAACTTGTGGCAATTCTTGATCAGATGGAAGGGTGTGAATCCACTCTACTATTTGGTGGTACTCTGCTATTTGGTGGTACCTCCAAGACCCAACAAAATCTGGGCATTGCTGTGTTAGCATTGTTCAAAGATCTATATGACAAGGTGATGTCTGCACTTCCATTTTATGTATTTTGTAATTCCAGAATAGAAGCACAGAATCACAGAATATGCCGAGTTGGAAGGGACCCACAAGGATCACTGAGTCCCACTTCTGACCCTGCACAGAACCATCCCCAAGTGTCATACCATGTGCCCGAGAGGGTTGTCCAAATGCTTCTTGAACTCTGTCAGGCTTGGGGCTGTGATCACTTCCCTAGGGAGCTGTTCCAGTGCCCAACCACCCTCTGAGGGAAGAGCCTCTTTCTAATATTCCACCTAAACCTCCTCTGACACAACTTCAGGCTGTTCTCTCAGGTCCTGTCACTGGTCACCACAGAGAAAAGATCAGTGCCTGCCCCTCCTCTTCCCCTCACAAGGAAGTTATAACTGAAATGAGGTCTCCCCTCAGTCTCCCCTTCTCCAGGCTGAACAGTGCCCTCAGTTGCTCATCATACAGCTTCCCCTCAAGGCCCTTCACCATCTCTGTGACCTTCCTTTGGAAGCTCTCTAAGAGCTTTATATCTTTCCTATACTGTGGTGCCAAGACCCTTTAACACATGTTGAAGAGATCCTGCAGTGCAAAAGCAAGGAACTGGAGGGCCTCAATGAATTAGCATTTGACCCACACAGGATCTCCCATTCTTCCTTCCAAAGGACCAAACAGATGTGAATCTGATTTCTTGATCCAGAAAAATCTCATTAATACAGAAATACTGCCACTTAGAAGTGCAACACCGGAGAGATGAAATTATCATGCTTCTGCCTACTCTGCATAGTGCTCTAGCTATGTCTGCCCAACCAAAAATGGGTCTTATGTAGCCAAGGAAGCTATTTTTAGATCTGAAATTGTATCCAGGTTAGAAATAGATTAGTAACAGCACATTGCCTAACCTTTGAGGCGGAAGTTCTGGGCTGAGGCATTGCAAAGGTTCCCAGCTGGCAAACATGCCCTCAGTGAAACATAATGTTGTGTAGTAAATGGTTCTTTCTTGGCTGTGAATATTCATGTACTTAGAGCAGGAAACTATTACAAGCTGAAATTACTTCCCTTCCCTGGCAATACTGCCAAGTAATTAGTTCAGAAAGTAACTTTTGGAGTATCAAGAAAAATGTAAAATTTCTCTTCAGATGGAGCATTTCCTCCTTTTTGGGAGCACTGTTAGATTCTAAGACACAATAAAATGTTTCTTAATGTCTTTGTTTATATGTAACAAGGTGTTGTGAACATAACACATACATACTATTTTATATTTTATGTTATTTATTTATGTTTATGTTTATAGTGGCAATAATTTCCTACTACTCTTTGCTAATTTACCATGATCTTGTGATACGACAGGATGAGCAGTTAGATAACACAGGTTTCTTTCATATTTTTCTGTCCTGAACACATGACTTCAAGAAAAGTAATTTGATGACTCACTGCCTTACTTTTTTTATCTGCAAAAACCTGAAGAATAGTTGCTTCATGCTATAAACCTTTCAATTTCTTTGAGACCTTTCAGTGGAATGCACCACCTGCATGAATATATACAATACTGTGAGATCATACAGTGTGCCAGGAATCCTCCCTTTCATCTCTTTTCCTCACACCTCAGATCAGTGTAAACTTTCAGGCATTACCCAGGGATGCCAGAATATCATGGTAAATTTTCATCTTTGAATAGATTATGATATTTGGCCAGAAAAAAAGTATATTTCAGAGAATATGAAAATTAATAAAGACAACTGCTTTCTGAGAACTCATGTTTTGCAATACATGTGTAGAAGTCACTCCAGATAGGTCAAAAGATGTTGGATTGACCTGAAATTCTCTCAGACAAGAACCTGGAGAAAACAGTGGCATGCAGAAATGTGTAATGAAACCTAAAAATGGGATTTAGCCAGAACTTTCAGAACATTAAGAACTACACTTAAATTCTTTATGTCTAAGACTGGGAAATGGAGTCAGAATGCCACTGTTTGATAATAGAATGTACAAATCTGTTTTACGGGAGAAATGAAAGAGAAAAGGCCATGCTGCATTCAGAACTTGTACAGCTCGTATAGCACAGACGGGAGAAAAAGCAGGCGTTACATATAGTAAATGTGCACAACACATGCCTCGATTGCTGGAACTTGGACACCAAACAGTAGTGATGGCATGTGGGAAACTGAAAACAGGCAGTAGAGGGAGAACAACAACCTGTGTAGCCCCCTGATGAGCCTATCTCTCATTTCTCTGTCTTCAAAAACTAAACAAGAGGTTATTATGGCCACTCAGAGTCTACAAATATCAGCTGAGGAAGATCTAGGTCTTGAGCTTTTGTGGAGATGTCACCATGCAAACTCCTGCTGAACTTGCTGGTAGTGAAACTGGTTAGAATTAGCAATGCAAATTACAGACAGCCACTTAGAACATCAGTGGCTACCTGTAATTCAGTAGTTCCACAGCGTGACCTACCTAATTCTCATGGCTTATTACTTTTTCTTGAGCTAGACTGAAGAAATTTTTTGTGTTAGGGAATATTCTCATTTTGCTTAATAAAACCTTGGAGCCTCAAAACCTGCATCAGCAGATAAAGAAAAAAAAAAAAGATGACAAATTCTCATGATGGAAACATTTCCATTAACCCATAATCTCCCAGAATGGACAATCACGAATATTTTCATTCTTTTCCTGAAAAAGGTACCAAATGCACTTTTATACTGGGAGTAGAAAAATACATGCAGCACAGAGCATCATCAGAACTTTTCACCAAGGCACTGATTTCAGTGCTGTTAAAGGAGTTGTTTTGTAACTTATCCATGAGATAATAGTATCAAAATGTTCAGAGGTAAAAACTTCACATGATCACACTAAAGAAAGGGAAATATCCTGTACATAACATTTTAAAGCAGATAGTATTTGCCAAAAAGAATTGAACAACACAAAAGGGGAACATCTGAGAGGAAGAAAACATATTCACAGCTGTCAGAAATTTTAAAGGTGCACTCCTTGCCTGGGTAAATAATTGCCTTGTAGGTGTTCTGGGTTTTTTTTGGCATAAAATTGTTTAGCCAATCTGCTTTTTGGCTTTTAAAATAATCACACTTACCTGTAAAAATATCTTGGCAGATGTACTAATCTGGAAAATTTGCATGACTTGGCCTGCAACTGACTATACATTACAGATGTTACAGGTGGATAATCTAATAACACAGCTCAGTTATTTATTTCCAGATTAATCCATGTCTATAGATTTGTGCTACGACTTAGGTGTAACCAGAGTGCGGAACAGTGGATAAACCATGACACCCTCAAACCTACTTTAGGGTCACAATGTTTTCCCTATTTCACTCTTGACCTTCAGAACATAGAGGGAGGCATACCTAACTACTAATATAGACTAAATTATTGCACATTCCAATCTCCTTCAGTTAGCAACCTTACCAGTAAGCAGGCAGAACAGAAACAACGATGTCTGACCTTTTTACCATTGAATTCTCTTGCAGACAAGAAAACAAGCAGCCCCTTCTAGATCTCTAAGCATTAAGAAAAAAAAATCAGAAAGTCAACAAGAGCTGTAAGGAAGATTCTAATCTCACTTAGTACTGTACAGTCCGTCACCATGCAACCCTGATACAGCCGAAGTCCTCACCAGAAGCCTTAGTATATCTCCTAAAGGTGATATATGAAATTTATCAAAATAAATAGGTTTGTCAAAATCTTCATAGATGTTTAGAAGCAGTTATTTCTGTTATTTCTCTCTGGAGTCCCTGCATGTTTTCTTGAATGAAAGTCACAACAAATACTATTAAAATCTAATCCAGAATCTCTCAGATGGGATGAAAAATGAAGCACCTTTTTATTATTGGGTTACATTTATGCTCAGTTTACCTCAAGTGAAGAGTTCTGAAGTTTCCCAGTTAGTACTTCTTTCTCTTTCTCTAGTTGCTTTAGTTCACACTCTGATTTTCTTTGAAATTCATCTAGCTGTGTTTGGAGCTCCTAAAATAAAAAAAAAGAAAAAAAAAGAAAGAAAAGAAAGAAGCAACGAGACAAAAGCATGCAACAGCTGGAACAAAATATGTAGCATGAAAAAGGAAGAACATATTTCATCTACATCATCCTAGATAACAGAGCAGTTTACACAATAGTACATGCTACTGTTTTTGAATGTCACTTTTGTGTCATTCAATTAAAAAAGTATTAACAGTTTGGTTCTTTCTAACACTAGTGTGTGACAATACAGTTCACATAATCCTAATCTACTGAAAGCTTCTCTGTGGTGGAAAACTGTACAGTGTGAAGAGTTAGACTATTTTGCCTCAAGTGGTGTTAGTGTTCAAAAATAATTTAGTATGTAAGAGTCACCCACAAGACCTGAAAAAAACATAAATATACCTTGGCCATATAAATAACAAGATGATTAACTAATGGGCAATTAATGGAAAAGAGAATTAAAGGAAGCACTACCTGCTAGCATCCATAAAGAAAATCACAATGAGGAAGTAAAAATAAAAAAAAAATAAATTAAAATTAAATTAAATTGGAAAAAGAATTGAGGACAATATTCCATCTTATTGCTGGAAATAGTTGAAAAATCACTGATAGCCCCAGTTGCAAGACAGTGACCAAGAGCTTGTATCAATTGTTTGCAGCAAGTGTGAGCAATTGTTTATTGTAGAAAGACAGAATGTGCAACTTCTAGAAACCTCCTGAAGTGATATGCATTACAAGCTTATTAGTGCACTTGCTCTTCCTATTTGTGCCAATTTCCTGACTCAAAAAAATATTCTATAACTTCAGACACTACAAATGGAGGAAACAGAGAAAAAAATAGCAATTTAACACCTGTCCCATCCTGTACAGCCCTTTCTCACGTATCCCACTCTGTTTAAAATCCAGGTAGCAATTAAAGGATGAAATTAAACAGATGCATGAGTACTGCAACGGAGAAACTAGCTTTAGTTTTGCCTGCACAAAAAGAAGAGCATATAACATTCTTTTTGATTAAAACCTGAAGATCAGGTGCAACATTCCCACTACAACTCTGGCAACTTACTTTCTTCTCTACATCTTAATTTTTCTATCTGGAAAATAGATATAATACTTCTCAAGCAGCTGCTACAGACCTTAATTGAATCAGAGGATATAAATAGCATTAATAATGAAAAATATTGTCATTGTATTTAAGTTTTACTAACTTGAGATTTTTCTAATTTAATTAATATGAACCTCTAAGAAGAGAAGATTACAAGCAACAGTATTTATTGCCTATAAGCAATAAATAACTACTACTATGCCTTTTTTCTAAAGTATGAAAGTTTGATATTTAAATTTGATTTGACTTACATGAAGAGCTTCATCCTGGCATAATTTTAAGTATACCTGTACAAACTTATAATAAGAAGAATACACTATAAAAAAGGCAATATCATTATCATGATGTAACTGTGTACCTTGAAGCACTGCATCTTCACATACTGATCAAACATGAGCCCTTTCACAAGGAGATAAAATAATTTACTCACACGGGTTCCATTTTGAGAAATAAGATTGCAAAAATGTATAAACTCCAACAATTTCAAGGAAATTAATTCTTCTGATGAGCAGTAAACAATTTCTAGTGTCCAAAATCAGGACAGTACTATGAAGCTCAACATTTAGTGACAGTAGCTGCGTGCTTTTTATGACTTCACAACTTGACAGCAATTGGTTTGATTATTCTCAAGTCAATGTTAAACTCGGAAAGTTATATTAGTCTTAACTGCAAAAAATGGGTAAAAGTATATTTTTAGCACCAAGAAGGGTCTAAAGAACACTTGACCAGTAGTCTGATTGTCCAATTCTACTTACTGCTCCAATTAATCTTTTTTTCTGTCTAGAAGATGTCTGACAAACCCACAAGTACATTAGGAGTCAGAAACTAAATTCCTCCTTAGTTTATGCTCAAATTTGGCAAACCACTTGGACATGCAGTGGGCTGTAAGCTTCACTAAGCACTAAAGCACATGCTTAAAGGCAAACGTGTTTCAAGGTTCTCCTCTGTTTGAACAGATTTCAGCTCACGTTCAGGTTCTTACTGCACAGAAACTGTGTGACTGCAAACTTCCTAAAGCCAAAGGATTCAGTCACAGATAACAGTTCTCATGAAAGTGAAATTCTTTGAGAAATCTCTTAAGCCAATTGCTGCTAATGCATATCAACAACAAGAACTACAGCCCAGGCACTTAAAGCATGTTGAAAAAAGGTATTGCTCAGGTAAGCTGTCTGGATCCGTGAGAGGATGAGGATTCTTTCTGACTAAAGTTAAATAAGGACATACATATATATGCATATGTGTGTGTGTGTGCATGCATTTGTTTGTAAATAGTTGTAATTTCATTGGTAACACATGCACTCTGAATTAATTTACCAGTCTTTGTAGAATTAGATCCTCTGCCTAAACAATGCAAAATTTTGATTAAATCAATTTATTGAGTGTTTCACATCAGTGATTCATGAAAATTTAAGTCAGAAATTACAATAACACCCACAATACATTTTTCTCCAGGAGGGTTCTTATATAAATCACTCCAACTGCCACATGCAAAGCATGCAAGGATAAGTGTTGCTAAGAAGGCCGTTTATCACATCAAGGATAAATTCACCTTCCTGTCTGTGGAGCTTTTCACAGAAATACATCAGTCTGACCTTTTTTAATTTTTTTTTCTTCAGTTAGACCATAGCAATAAAATCCTGGCATTTTATATTAATTCAAAGTGCCCAAAGTGAGCATAATTCAAATGATGTCACTGCGACCAAAAAGATAAAACTAGATGAAATAAAGCATCTATAAATAAAAGAACATCCCTACCTTCTGAATTTTTTTATTTCAGATTCTATGAAGTTTTAGACTGGCCTGATTTCCTTTGTATCCTTCATTACAAGATCTACCAGCCCTTTTAACAGCTATTCCTTCAGACAAGCCTTTTCCTTATGGGACTAATGCTTGACTTTACAAAGACAGTTCTCTCTTTTATTCATACCCTCTTTGTAAATAGCTACAGTTTCCAATAGCTACAGTTTCCATAGTCTATTTGGTAGTGAATATCCTATTTCATATCATATAGATATGAAAAAAATCCCCAAGAGGGTAGAATTCTGGGGTGGCAGTAGTCTATTTTGTAGTGAATATGCTATTTAAGTGGAAATACTCCATTGAAAAATACTGGCTTTATTTTACTTAGCAATACAGAACTGTATTGATCCAGGACAATAAGCCTCTCCGTTAGTCTAGTAATAGTTTGGGGTTTTTTTGCTGTTCTGGTTTGATCTTGGCTATGTAACTCGCTTCCAATCATGCAGGCTTCCTCAAGGACAACCTTAGTCCTGTGGAAAAGTACAGTAGACAATTTGTTTTTTCTTATGTCTCTGAGGCCAGGTCATATTTTCTGGAATGGTAGCATAACAATAGTTTTAGAGAACTAAAAAGTATAGAAAAGATTCAGGGCTGGACAGTTGCTTAAGGGGAGACATCGTACAGAGGGAACTCTCTAGATACCCACATTCCTCATTGTACTGAGTTTATTCCTGGTACTATTTCTGCATTGCTTTTCAGAAAAACTGTTTTATATATTTAAAAATAAATAAATCAGTATTCCAACTTGACCTCAACAGAGAAAGTGTGCCTTGGACGTTGTTCTCTTTAAGGTTTTTGTTATAGCACCAGTTGAACACTCAGCCCTGGTATAGCTCAAGGATGTTCATAGTTTCTTTGCTGCCTTTGCAGCAACTCACGTACTTCAGGTTATGAATACGAGTCACTGTGCCACTGAACGAGCTCAGAGATCTGGGAATCTTACAGGATTGACTACTGTATAATAATCCAAAAGCCATTAATTTTAAAAGAAAAATTACACTGATTTCAGTACTTTTGGTATGCCATGCCTTTGAATATTTGAGAGCAAAACACCTGTTAAAGCTCCCGCACATCTTCAGAGCTGCTCTTTTTCTGACTCTGTTTGGGACAAGTCATTTGCTGCAGCTGTGTTATTTGATGTTTCAGTTCATCTACTGTATTAACAGCTTTGCTTTGGAAATTCAACATAGTTTCCACATCTTCTGCAGTATCAAAATTTACATTTCAAATAGCATAAATAACTTGCAGAATTTCCAATATAAGTGACTACTAACAGGGGAAATACTTTAGAATGACATTAATGAGCATCTTACCTGCTTTATGCAGGATTTCCTTTTCTTGATGTGTATTTCTGCCTTTGACTACACTTAGATCTTCTTCCACTTTTTTCACTATACCTTTTGATCCCAGAACTTCTTGCTGTGTTCACTTAAGCTACACTTCCAAATCCTAAAATATGCATGACATTACTTCCACGTTCATTACATATGTCCTTTTCTTGTCACAAGAAATAAATGGTCATTTTCTCTCTTGGTGTAGTTACATGACATAAATCTTTCACCTAGAGAGCTGATTTAAATGCATTTTTGGCTCTTCCATACCCTTCAACTGTCTCTGTTGCCAGAATATTTGTAATGTGGAACCATTCCCTCCCATGTAGTGTCATTGTAAAGTGAACACTCATCAAGAGCTACCATCTAAAAGATGTCTGAGATTATCCTAAACTTGAAAGAGGTTATACTTCCAGTAATTTCATGACAAGGTATGCTAAAAGTTAATGTATATTAGTTTGGAAATTTTTTAAGTTGCTGGAATACAACAGTTTGTAACATACTCCATAATGCCTAAACTCAGAAAAAATTGGCTCCTATGAACTTTGCTGGGAATTGACTGTCCATAACTACAGGCAAAAATTTGAACCATATTTAATGTTCTATTTCTGGAGGTTCTAGTTTCAGTTTTCAGATGTGTAGCATAATACTGCAATATTTGCTCAGTTATAATTGCCATTTGTCCCTAGATGAATGCTGAGTGAAACCTTACAGGTTAAAACTAACTCATATTTAACACTCTCTGTAGCTCAGAACTTCAAGATAAGCTTGTTTCTTTTACCTCTGGCACATGCCAAAATTCTTCTGAAACTAAACTGAACAGCTCAGACTTAATGACTTGTCAGCCTTTGCATTGTCTCTTCTACAGTAATAACAATAAATGTGCACTAACGTGATGCTTTTCATCTAAAAGTCTCAAACCTCTAGGCATACACTAAGGAGAAAACAGAAAATTCATCTTGCTTAAACAACAGTCCTTACACCTTTCAAGCCTTATAATAGATTTTGTTGCTAGTATTTACCAATGCTCAGAGGTATTGCAGATTAAAAACATGTTTCTATTTCCCAGTCTGGCACTGTCTACATGAGTCTGAAAAAAATGTAGTGTTTAATGGTGGCATAAGAAATACCCAACTTAGAAAAGAGAAACTTTTACTTTTGTATTTAAACTGTAAAGAAACAGAAAATAACATCACTTCTCTTTCCCTTCTTCCAGATTTATCCTAGTCTGAGGCTATCTCTTCACAGGTTCAAGGCAATATGCTCCAGCGGTATGTAAATCAGCCTCATTCCACAGACTTAGAGGATCTGTAATGTATGAGTTGAGCATATGTCCTTCAGAAAATATTTCAGTTTTATCCAGCCGATACTGAAGTTAGAAAATAAATTGCTAATGACACCACCTTCTTATTTCCGTTTCCTATCATATTTTACATTATTTATTTCTAAAAGATTGCCTTTCTTATGCAATAAATCAGGAGTAAACCATGTGCATAAATTTTCGTGTGTCCATTCTTCATTTTTCCTGGATGTTATTTCAAGTACCCACAAAAAAATCAGGATCTTGCTTTCCCTCTCCCCCTCTATCACTTCTAACTTCTATGAGCCAGGACACTTTTTGTTATTGAAACAGGTATTACAGATTTCTCTGACTCAATTTAAAAAAAATGGCTTATCTGCATCTCTGTCATTCATTATATCCTCTCCACTTTTCTGTGGAGATCTACACACAGAGAGAATGAAATCTGTATAATGTTGGGGAAGGTTTATTCAAGTAGTCCTCTGATCTTGCAAAACAAAAAGGTAGTGACTCTATTGAAGGCTGAACTCCCTCAAAGATCATCCTCAAAGAAGAGGCCCGGTACTCTGCACCATCAACAAAATGATACCAGTAAGTAAGATGTGAGGGCAGATGGCAAAACCAGTAAAGAGCTGTCTTGGAAGAACATAGCTGACAGGGCTGATCCTGCTCTCTACAGAATTCCAGGATTCTCTTACTCTAAAAGAAATAAATCTTTCCCATTAGGAAAAAAATCTTGTTATTCTGTAATATTCCAAGCCTAGACCTTCATGGTGTTTTCTTCTGTAATATGCAGGACTGCTGTCATAGGGCTGGAGGCAGGTCTGGTAGGTGAGTTTATGTGATGTGAAGGACCAACACCATTAGAAGGAAATCAAACTGCTGAGCACAGAGCATGGCTGGGTACTTCAACTTCAGCACAGCTCATCAGTGTCTCTCCTGCACTCTGACCTTATGTACCACATGCAGCTGGTTGGCAGATTGCCCATGACATGCCAACCTCTCAAACTGCATCTGACACGTGATGCAACTACACAGAAATTAAAAGGGGCTGCAGAGCTGTGCTGCAAATGTATGAGATACACAGCAGTGAGGGTGGACAGGCAAAGTGTGAGGTGAGAACTAGTGGTGAAAGTCTCACTGCTCAGCACATAAAACTTCATGGGTGTAAAGGACACTTTATTAAATAGCACTTGATACAAGCCACTGCTGCAAGAGCCATACAAGGCATTTGATTCCCAACCTGCCAGCTCAGGTCTCTTATCTAATCCTGTTCATATCCATGCACTGAGCTATTGGCAACCAGAAGGGAAAAGGAGAATATACTGTGTAAACACTCATGGCTAGCAGTAGTGCCTTTTTGCTATTCTTTTCACATTTCTGGGCAGGAAAGGTAAAATTCTGTTCAGGACCTTACTTCTCCCTCACAGAATACAAAGTCTAGTGTTCAAAGTGTTCTCCTAATGAGTTACTAATCATCTTAACTCTGTCTTTAAAATTGTTAGCACTATATCTCTCCTATTTCCATTCTAAGTCTCTAAAACTGTTTTACTGCTTAAAAAGCACTTGACTCAACATGATATGTAAAAGACCCCTCCTGTCCCAAATTTTAAAGAATTGATGATTTATACTTTTATAGGCAGAGATAGGGATCATGATCTCATACTCTACCTGTATTCTCTCCTTCAGCTTCTGGGAATGCTTCTTCCTCTCATTTATCTTCTGGCTTTTCTCCTCTAGGTCTGCTTCCAGCTTCTTTACCTGCTGCAGCAAAAAACCTTCCTCAGTCTCTGATCTCTTCCTTTGCTCTGTTTCTCTTTGCTGACAATTCATCACTGTTTCTATCACAGACTGATGCATAGTTTTTCTCAAAGTCTCTTTTTCTCTCTCATAAGGGACTTGCAGTTTGTATGTTTTCTGAGTAGTTTCTTCAGTTGCTCTCTGGTTCTTGCTCTTCAGGTTTTCCACCTCATTTATTAGAGTGTGTCCTTCCACACTGCATTTCTCATCTAAATGTACCTTTTTACCCAGATTTTCTCTTCTAGATGCTTTGCATTCATTTAGCAGTTCATCAAACTCCTGATTTAAATGTGGAAGCTTATTTTCAAAGCCTGCATTGGTATCTACCATGTCTTTAGAGAGGACTGCCTGTGCTTGTTTCACTCCTGTTCTCAACTCCTTCTCTTCCGCCTGCTTTTTGCACAATGTTAACTCTGCCAAGGCTTCTTCCTTCAATCTCTTGTGTTGTTCTACTGCAATTTCAAGGGCCTGAATATGTTTTCTCAGTAACTGTTCTTCTTCAACTTTGCTTTTACACTGGAGAATCGTTTCCCTTGTCTCAGCAAGAATGTGTTGAATTTCTTCTTCGTGAGCCTCTCTCAGAGCCTCTATACTGGCCTCATGTTCATCATTCTTAGTGTTTAGGGCATATATCACCTATAGAAAAATAGAAAATTAAAGTAACTAGTGAATGGTAGCCATGCATCCAGTTACTATATTTATCAAGGTGTTAAACAATAAAAGAGAATTACTACAATAGATCAATATTTTGTATGTGTGTGGTGGTTCTTTGTTTCATTTTTTTTTTCACTAGGAACAGAAGGGACAGTTTTACACTGCAAAACCTTATAGGAAAGGAAGACAATACTGTGACAGGAAATAATTTTTTTACTTTTTGTCAGAAATTTCCTTTTTATTCTTGGCAACTTGTCACTTCATGCCTGTAGTTGGATCTCTAACGCAAGGAAGGGAATCAGGCCCCTTCTTAAGCTAAATGACTTCTTATCTGTAGACCAGTTCACCTGGCCTTCAGTGCAGGAGGGCTACCTGCCACATTGCCTTTAGCTTTAGGAAGTGCTGGGGACCAGTAGTGGCAGATCTGTGCAGTGAAATCTGAGGTCCTGATATCTAGTTCATGTGGACCAAAATCACTTTGTGATGGAAATGAAAGTAAAGTATGAAAGGTGGATTAAATTCCGCACTCCAACTAAAACACCATGGAAGATGCATTCCTGGAAGCCACATGCCTTGCAAGTTAGTTTGGTCAGCATTGTATGGTAAGCATTACTCAACTGCAAGCCTCTTTTGGCTTGATTCTGAGAAGTGCTTAGGCAATGTATTTTTTTTTACCCCCACATTTCAGTAATAGTCATAAATCTCAGAAAACAGCTTTCAGCAGATGCAAGTGCCCCTCTGATGACAAGAAGTAATTTTTCCAAACAACTGTTTTAAATCCTTTGATGTTTTATTTTTTTCTACAAAATGCAGAATAATAATTCTTTTGGCTGTAAGACAAGTTATGACCCATAGCAGGCTTTGTTACCCATAACATACACCAAAGGCCTCTCACGGAAGCTGGTGTACAAGCACACTACTATTGTTTTGAAAAGAAAATGCTATTAGAAGCCCAGAGTGGCCTGAAATGAAGAGTAAATGAGCAGTTTAGCTTACAAGACAGTTACATATAATTGCACAACATAGTAACTGCCTTGAAAAGATACATTTGTGTTTTCAGACCTTCATTAGGACATACAGGGACTAATCCAGTTAGTACTGAACATAGTTATCTAACTCAAGGAGAACTACACAATGTGTATTAACATGTGTGAAGGTTTTCCACTTATTTGTTTGGTTACATTTTTTTTAGGGATAAATTACTAGTCTACAAAACTAGGTTTGGAATTTGTACACAAGTTATGATAGATATACTCAGTCTGGCCTGAGCCCACAGAGGTCAATCAAAAGATTAGACAATGTTTGAGAAAATCATAGCCTTAAGTAAATAAATAAATAAATGAATACAGGAAAAAGGTCCCAGCTAATTCTTTAAATATGCTAGAATTCTAGCCCTGTAATCTTCAAGCCTTCCTCAGGGCAAGCCTCAATTGAGAGTCCAATAAGTATCTTGACCACACTAAGTGTCACAAGCCTCTAATGTGTTGTATAAGCCCCAAAGATGTCTCCAGAACTACTGAATTGGCATATCTATGTCTAACCACATTTTGTGCTATCTGTATATGAATAACATTGAATTTCAGTCAACCATAAATGAAAGCAAACACACAAATACATCTCGTGTGTAGTCAACTTTCTCCCTGGCAGTAATGAATTAAGTAGAGAAGCCTTAAAAAGTCACAAATGAAAAATGTGGTCTGGATATATTTCTGGATAAATATGTGACAAAAGAGAATAACAGCATTATATTCCTGAAAAATGTCAGACAAGAAGTCATTGTCTACATTTAGATATGTATATTTTTGGACCTTAGATTACAAGTTGTTAATTATTCTCTGTTATTTTTAACCACTTTTCCTTGAAATTGAAATAGTTGTAGTATACTGAGCAGTTTCCTTCACTAACTAAAATCCCTCCATGAACAGTGATTTCTTAACTACTAACAGTACTTCTTAACTGTTCAGGAGACAGACATAAAAACTACAAGGAGAAGATTAATTTTGCCCACATTCTATACACTGAATGACCAGTAATTAGGTTGGGCAATTCTTCAATTAACTAGGTCAGATGCTGATGATCATATTTCTGTATTTCATTCCATCCGTAAAAGAGAAACGAACATCCACCACCTTTGTGACTCAGTCTTCCGCTCTTATTGGTTAATTTATCTAGTCAATCACCATGACCTGTCTCATATTATTTTGTGTTCAGGCTGACAATGGAATCTGGGTTCCTCTACAGTCTGACCTAATCACAGAGATTTCCCAAAATCCACTAAGCATTTGACCACCACCATCACCTTAAGGGAGTTATCTAAAAGAATGGAAGAAACTGGCCTCTCTGCTCTATCTATGATTCCTACACTTCTGTTCAATACTGGCTAGAACCACAATGAAGAACTTTAACTTGCATGACCTTAAATTTAATCTTCAAGCTTGAGTGTTGAAACTGACTCCTCAGTATCTTAACCTTCTTAAGAGATTTAATTTTTACACGGCTGATGCTCTGTACTTCATGAAATTTAAGCTGCTCAGATTACTGAATATAGCTACTATATTCCTATTCAAGATACCTCATTTTAGAGACTGGACTTATATGGGACACATCTGGGTCTTTATGTGCTGAAAGGAAAAATACTGAAAAATTATTTCAGCATCTGTACCTTGTGAGTGTACACACAGCTGGGTAATGTGGTATAAATCCCTTAACAGTTGTGTTGATAAACAGCTTTTTAAAAGCAGCTCTAAAACTGACCATATGACAATACAGACAGATTTTCTTTCAAAATAAAAGAGCACTTCAATACTCTTGGAGTTGCCAGCATAATACCAATAGCTACTGCCTTCTTACAATTCTCCAAAACCAAATGGATTGGGAAACACTGTACTGAATTTATAGCACCTGAAAGTTGTATGGCAGATTGATATAAACACTATTACACACATACACTTCAGTATTAATAGTGCAGTGAACATGAATACATCTTATTTGCCCTATTCTATCCTGTAAATATAAATGGCATTTCCTTTCTCCTTTTATTTACAGTGATATAGAACAACAAAAAGAAACCCCAAAAACATTCGACTGCACCTCATCAGTGAAAAAAAAGCTAAAGTATTCAAACCAAAAAAGACAGTTCTCTGTTCCTACAGTAGTGTTAAATACTACTCTTATAGGAACTTGACTATCATAATGAAAAAAATTCTTCTAGCAGGTTGCTTTACTAGATGAATAAGAAGGAAGACAATTTGGTATGGAAGGTGAGGAGTGAGGATGCTAAGGTGAATCAAAGAAAAGCAAAAGATCATAAGTGCTCTTTTCTCAGGCCCAAGTTAGTGGACAAAAATCCTTCCTGATGGACAAGGGGCTAGAAGTAAAAAAGAAGAAACACAAGATGGAGAAAAAGCCCCAGATGGGGGTGCCAAACAGGGTTCTCCTGACAGCACTCTAAACAAAGCAGTGAAGGAGACAAGCTTTCATTTATAGTTTGTTAGATGACTGGTGACTGTGTCATCTCCTTTTCACTAGTAGCAGCAGCATCTTGTCTTCACTGGCACGTGAATTTGTTTCTTTGAACTCATCTACTTCCCAAGCAGATGAGAGCAGAGTAAGGTATCTATAAACATGCCAGTCTTAAAAGGGTCTCTTTAAAAGCAAAGGGCAGAGAAATTATTACAAGTAACTTCAGTTATTTAAATTAACATCTCTTCTATCCCTCAGCCTCCTCCGTCACTAATTCTACAGGCTAGAAAACAAAACCACCCCCCACAATTTATTAATTAATACTCTAACAAGTCTCTCTTTTTCTTTCTATCACTGAAGAAGAACGTCTTTTAATTGAGGTAATAGCCTAGGCTATGATTACCTACAGTACTCATCCTGTTTTACACCTATGCTGATCTCAGCTGAATGATACTGCTCTAACATATGAACTACCCTTTGCTTCCTGAAAGTTAAAGAATAATTTTATGTGTCCAAATAGTTTCAGCAACTGTTGATAACATAAACATATAAATGGGTAGTATGAGAGAAGCTTTAAAAAAATTGGCACTCCGAACATCCAAACTTCATATTGACTCCATATCTGTACACCCACCTCATCCTGTTTTACCAACACTTTACAAACCAAAACAGATATTGGGTGATTATTAACTGAATGCAGTTAATCTTCCATCTATATTCCTTATTTATCTCCAATTTTTTTAGATGTTTATGACTCTCTTTGAATTAGTATAATCTATTAACTTTAATATGTTGTTTATTTTTACTTCCAGGTCATTACTTAATACGCAAAATAACGCAAGATCTATCCCAGATCTTTGAAGCATTTGACTCCACACAACAGGATGTTTTAAAATTTTTTTACAGTTCCTGACTCATGTTGTATCTTATCTGTCAAAACCTTTTTCTACATAACTTAGAAATAATTTTGCAAAGCTTAAATAGCAAAAGCACTACTACTTTTTTTTTTACATTTTGTGTGCAATTAAGAACTAGAATAAATAAAATCAGTCAGCATGACATTTACATGAAATACATTTCTATTTCTTTGTTCTCCCTGAGGTGATTCAAATCCATCTTGAGCATATTTATCAGGTTAAGCTGTATTAAAATATCGCCAGATGATCACGTTACTTTTCAGTAAAAATAAGATTAGGTAAAATTTCTGCTTCTTAAAAACCACAGAACTAGATGAAAATACTTTAAAACATTACGCTTAAACATTGATAGTTAATGTAAATTAACACACATATGTAGGCAAGCAGAAATACCAAATTATTTGACTTCAGAGTACTTTCTCTCCACATTTTGCAATGTCTTGGTGAAATTCTTGCATAACTGCTTAAGGTCTCAAATATCCCCACAAATCTTAGGCTATTACAGTCTTATATGAGTTCAATTCTATCTCACGAAGCTCTTTCAGATGGATGATGTGCAAAAAATAGAAAATCTGTTTGACACAAGCCACATTTTTACCTGTG